TGGCCAGCTATTAAAAGTGCACCTAGAGACTTTGAGGGAAGAGGAATGATAAACAGAACCTCTTGTCCTCCGGCTAACAACCTCTGACCGAAAGGTGAAGCCCCTCTGTTATTATCGCTTGATACCAGATTTAATTTTTAAAACTGCTGCATTTGGGGTGGAGCCAGGTGTGATGCTCGGAAGCAAGTAGCATTTTGACAGTTTTATCTCACGTGCACCTGGTAGGATACAACTTCTGCCTGGCTGTTAGATGCTTTGCTGATCAGCAGCTGTGACACTTGAAGGCACTGAGAAGAATCCAGCTCCCCTGTTTATCAGCTGATGGAAGAGTTTGGGCTGTGGGGAGGATATATGCACAAGTGCAGACATACCGCATCTAATCTGCTGTCACAGTTAAGCCTCTGCTATTGTCCTGGTGAAGTTCAACATTCAGTAACACACTGCGGGGGAGAAAATAGCTCAGGCTTCTGTGTAACGTGAATATATCCGCTCCTTAGGGTACCCCAGGGTGATCTGCCCTTTCCTTCCTCTTTCTGGACTAACTTCATGTGAGAGCAGGGACTTTGACCAGAAACACTAGAAATCGAGTGTTTCCCTTCCAATTAGGTTGAATCATATCATGTTCTCCCAATCCCTGCTGTCCATGTAGGGACATGAGCTTTTTTAGTGGGTGGGGTGGGGACTGGGAAGTCCTTCTAGCATCTCCAGTCCAATTTTATGGAGAGGAGTGGGTTGGGGAGTAAGTCATGTACTAATATGTAGGAAATAATCCTCTTGTCCACCTGCTCTGAAGTAGTATCAATTGTAAAAGGGCTCCACGTGAGCTATGCTTGGCTGCTATGCAGAACAGCTGCTCATGTACATGGGCTGGAAGGATGGTAGAGGCACTTCATGACCTCAGAGGGATAGCTGTTGGGAAACCAGTGTAAGGGATACAGCAGAGAGGAGAGCATGGAAACCAAGCAAGCCCCAGATAGAGCCACAAGAATGTACCTTCCAAGGAGGGACTGTTTGTTTGTGATGAGCCATTGGCCACTAGGTGGCACTTGCCGTGCTCCCACTGTTAGCATAGCATTAACCCAGTGAAAACTGGGAAATCCAGGTAGCTCTAACTCTATTAGTTTCAATTGTATTATGAGAAAAGAGGGAAGTGAAAACCACCCCAAAATCTGGCTGAAGTTTGAACTTGATCCTTCCAGCTATGAAACTAACCAATTCTAGTCAGCACTGCTGACATTCTTTAGTGAACTCTGTCCAGTACCATTGTAGATTCAGACTCCATTTCTTGGTAGACCCTATGTTTCTTTTGCACTTTTGTTTTGTGCAAACTCTTTGTTCTGTCCGGCGGCTACAAACCATTCCTCTCTCATGCCATATCACTTGTAGCCATGGAAAGAACTGAGAACTCAACAGAACTTGCTTTTCTGAGTACTCATTGTATCTGGAAAATAACTGCAGTTATCGGGGATGCTTCTTGTGAACTGCAAGTGTGTGGGGGAAGGGTTTAAGACACCAATTGTTCCTCTTTTAGATCACCCGTCAGACATCTGTGTTTTAATAAAAGGGGGTGGGAGAAGGGAGTGTTAGGGGTGGGAGAAGACTATGTATTATCTGTTTCAGAATAAATGTTTGTTATACAGAGATTGGATTCTAAACTTCTTAAGACACTGAGGAAATTGACAGAGGCCAGGTCAGTTGAACTTTGAATCAAGCCTACTGCTTCAGTGGTAGAAAGAAGTTGGGAAGTCTCAAATCAGTAATGTTGGTTCAGTGAATGCCATACATAGTTAAGCACAAGGTGGGGCAGTGGGAGGAGAGTGCAATCCTGGCTCAACTCAGGCAATTGGTACTAATATGACAAAGCCTTACAACTTTGGTGCTGAAGTTCAGCCCAGCTCACTATGTCATCAGAATTATTACCAGCTGATAGTGATAGCTGGCTGCTGTCCTATGATGTGAAATGAGATTGGTTGTCTTGGTCTAATTTTTAGTAGCTAGGTAGCCACACTAACAAAATGGACACTGTCAGTTCACATTATTGGCAGCTTGAAGGCAAAAGAATGAATGGAGCTTTGAGACTGAACAACCCTCAGGGTTGAAATATATTGGTGAGATGATGTGGAGAAGCTTGCATTGCTGCTGTCTCCTCCATACCTGTTCTGAGAGAGGCCTTCAGTTTACAGGTCTTGTAGATATCTTTCAGGAGCACTAAGCTCACAACAAACATTTAATTAAAGAGTAGATCCTAACTATGCACTGTCTGACCCTTTTGGCAATTCTCACTTCATGGAGGTCTACAACAGTTGTAACAGTGGAGGGGAAAATCTGTTCCAGTGTTCATTTACACAGTAATCTTTTTGGAGCAGGGACAGCACCGAGCCCAATGGGCCCTGAACCCGAGTAAGGTCTTTTAGTGCTACTGCAATATAAATAAGGCAACAAGAACTTGGGAACCTTACACAGTAGCACAACTGTCCTGCCTGCCTCGGAAAACTTTTGTCTGTCCTTTTTTCCCAGTAATAATATTTCTATCAGGACAGAGGAAATGTCTATAAGGCCGCTGACCTTCCAGGTAGTGGAGTGTGTGTGTTTGATGAGAACCACAAGAATTCCTGTGCTGCATCCTTATTTTTAAACATCCATATGTTCTGTGGTGGTGTATTTACCCAGCCCATCATGGCCTCCTTAGGACAGGAGACTTGAGTTGTCTGCATTGCAAAGCCTCTTTACGTGGATGCTTACCTTCCTTTTCCCATTTGACAAGAAACATGGTGGTCTTCAGCCTGGCTAAGACCATCAGGACTGTGTGGAGCAACAAGCCCTAGAACTGCCACTGACCACTTAGCAAGCATGTAAACAGAACCTACATGGTGACAAGCTTTCAAGGTTTATCTTCCTGATAAAAATGCAGCCTCAAGGCTCCAAAAGGGTTTGTCACTACTATGAGTACTGCTCCATGGACACAAACCTGCAGTAACACTAATCCTTTTAGGGGACTGTTTCCCTGTTGATCCACAGTTAGTTCCGAAGGCAGAAAGGCATGGTGCATTCTGGTGTCTCTGTCTAAAAATGTTCTCCATAGTAGTTTATTATGCAGTTAACAAGGAGCTTTCTGGTTTTATACACTAAGCCTTGGCCACAGCTGGAGAAAGGATACAGGACTAGGTGGGTCACTAATCTCCATATTTTTGGCATAGGAAGTTCCTTTACTGTTAGGATGATGTGAATGTAGACATATGGATTAATGATATTTGTTTAAGGAAGAGGTTTATTAAGAATGGTCACATTATTAACATTGTGATCATAGGTCAAACCTGGGATAATTTAACTGACATGGAGATTTATTTAGAAGGCCATGGCACACTTCTATTCCCCTACAGCCCAGAAGCTCAAGGCTGACCATTGAGAATGTTCGGATTATACATATACTGTAATGGAGAGCCTGGGTCAAAGGTGAGTTCTACTAACAGACCTTATTTGTAGAACTCTAATATAATTAGTAAGTTACCAAAAAAAAAGTGCATTTATGTGTTACCTGTAAAGGCGAAGCAGTGGGGGAGCTTGACCTTGGTCATTCCTGAGACTTTAAAGCTAATGAAGGTCACCTTTCCCATGATGTCTACAAAGTGTTCAATCATTTATCCATATCCATTTTTATTCATAATTTAAATAAACCAAATCTTGCCATCCTTACTGCATCAGCCTATTCTGTTAATCTTGCTAACTTAGAGAATCTACCCAACTGCTTTAGACTTCCTATCACAGCTCATCCCTACCTCTCCAAAGAGTTCTCATACCTGCAGTGAGCAGAAGTTAAAATGGTTGAAAGAGCTTTAACTCGGTCAGCTGAAAAAATCTGTCTCTTAAAGAAAACAATTTGTTCCACGGGAGCTGGCATGCTCATGTTAAAGAGAGTGCGGGAATGGGGCAGAGCATTAGAGTCAGCTGCTCATTTCATAGGATTCCATCTTTTTTATTGTCTTTAAGCATTCTGCCACCTTAGTGATTTTGTATCTTCCGATGACAGAGACTTAAAAGCAGGGGTTTGTGTGAAATGAGATGGTTGTTCAAGTCCAGTTTCCAGTGGCCCACCCATATTACAACTGTCAGCAATGATAGGTAACAGATACAATTTCTCTCACCCCTAAGGTTGCAGTGCACTTCACTGTGGGAATTGAGGCATGTGGAGAGTAGTGGGGAAGACAGAGGAAGAGTGATTTGGAAAGAATTTGTTACGTGTGGCTGTGCTGCACCTGTTCTGGGGATAGAGAGGTGCTTTTAGACTCCAGGGCTTTACATTTACCTCCTTTCACCAATGAGAATTTTGTTTTTTAAATAAAACTAACATCTTAGAAACAGAAGCGAAGGAACGTGCTGTGCTGCCTACACCTAGAGCTTTAGTGTCTTCCAAACTGTCACAGCTTTCCTAGAACTTTGGGTACAGTGCTTATCCTTCTGCCTTAATTTCCCCGTCTGTAAAGCAGTGATAATACTTGGCTATGGCAGGATTGTTGTGGGTCTCAGCGGCGTTCTCCGAAGTAGCAAAATCCCCTGAAGAAATTGCCCCAGAATGGAAATTGCTCTAGGGAAAGGGCCATGCCAATGCAATCATTGGAACAGGGTGGATGAGGCGATGTGGGGCAGGAGCCCATGCGCAGCCACCTCCAGGGCGCAGTCAGAAGCGCTGTAGCCAGGCCTCTAGGAAGTAATGGGGGTGGGGGTGAGGGCCCTGTATTTACCCGAACCCCCCTGTGCACGCTCTGACTCCACCCAGTTCGGCGCTGGCAGAAGCCATCCCTGCGACAGGGCAGCGCCTGACGCCCCCGGGCCCCTAGCCGCGCCTGTGTTAGCAGCACCCTGGCTGCGCGCGCACCCAGCGGGGGGAGGGAGCGCACGGACTAACTCGCTGCGCCCCGAACCTCGCCGTTCATCGGAAGCCCCGCCCCCTACCCAATCACTGCGTGACGCCAGCTTCCCCCAGCGCGAAGGGGACGCCGCAAACCGCGGCCCGCGAAGGAACTACAGCTCCCGGCGTCCCCTGCGCGCTTCGGCGTCCCGGCTGCTGAGCTGACGTCACCGACCGGGAAATTAAGATGGCGGCCGCCAAGAGGAAGCATGTGACTACGGCGGAGGCCGGGGCACCGGCGGGCTACACAGGTAACCAGCTGGGGCGGGGACGGGGCACGGGTTTAAAGGGGGGAACCTCTAGCCCGAAATCCCGGGGTTCCCCCCGCCCCCAGTGTATCCACAGGGGCTGATCAAGCCCGGCCCTCCCCCCACGCGCCCGGTTCTTACACGCTCCCGTTGCCGCTGTCTGGGTCGGGCGCTGGTTGCTCCGCACGCTGCTGTCCTGCCCCGAGCCGAGCGCCTGCCTGCATCTCCTGTGTGGCAGGGCACCGATCCCGCGGCAGCCTCCCCGGCCTGTGCCGCAGCACGTCCAGAAGCTCCAGTGCCATGAGCAGGGATCCCCGTTTTCTGTGATGACACCCCCCCCCCAAAAAAAATGTTGCATAAAAAAACATTAAATTCCATCAAGAATCGGAGGAGTAGCTGTGTAAGTCGGGATCTGTAAAAAGCTACAGAGTCCCGTGGCACCTTATAGAATAACAGACGTATTGGAGCCACACAAGCTTATGCTCCAATACCTCTGTTAGTCTATAAGGTGCCACCGGACCCTGTCGCTTTTTACCTAAAAGTCTGTGTTTTTTTTTTCCCTATGATTAAAATGAAATGCTGAACTTAATTTTCCCTAGCCACATTATGTACAGGTATCAGTTGAACACAATGTTTTACTGATATATTTACAATTTTTAAACAAGCTTGAAGCCTATCGGTACCATCAGTCGTTATAATAAAATGAATAGGCTTGCTGGGTGCCAGGCCAGCAGCTGCTGCTCTCCACTCTGCCTACGGAGCTGGCTGACTAGAGAGTGGTGGCTGCTGGCCAAGCACCCAGCTCTGAAGGCAGCGCTGCCGCCAGCAGCTTTTCATGCTCTCCTCCCCTCCAGAATACATTCCTTTTACACACCCACCCCTCCCACCCACCCTCAGTTTGAGAACCTGTGGAATAAGTGATACTGGTACTTTCAGTACAATTTAGTTAATATATGTCTTTATTTTTTCACAAAATGTAAAATTTAAAGAGTCTCTGTAAAAATGCAAATTCTGTCTTTTTCCACGGCAAATGGATTTCTAGGCTCTCTGGTTGTGAGTAAAGCACTTTGTACCTTGACACACTTTCCTGAGTTGTCAGGACCAGTGGGTGTTGGGGGAGATCCGGAGATTTATTTATGGGAGACAGGTAGAACCTGATTAGGCAATGAAGTCAGCAACTGATGGTGTTGCCTCCTAAAATGTTTTCTGGAACTTGATGCTCTGCTGAAGTCAGTTGCTTTAAATTGCTATGTCTCTTTAAAAATTGTCCCTTTTAGCCATTCCAGTTAAGCTTTCTGAGAAGCAACAGTCACCTCACTACCTGTATGTGAAGGAGCACAAAGTCCGAGAAGGCACCGATACTACCCACCCTCCAAACCGTACTCTCTTTGTCCTTAATATCCCCCCGTATTGCACAAAGGTGAGTTGTTGGTAGGGTTGCCAACTTTGGTTGGACAGATTCCTGGAGATGTCATCACATGACATAACCTTTAATTCCTGGAAACTCCAGGACAATCCTGGAGGATTGGCAACCCTAGTTGTTGGGCTGGAAGAAGTATTGAAAGAAATATGTGAATGTGGTCTTTTTACTGGGGGCTGGAGCATAACCAGAAGAGCAGAGAGTGATGCTGTAAGAAGTACAGTAACTCCTCACTTAACATCGCGCTGATTATAGTTGTTTCATTGTTACGTCACTGATCAATTAGGGAACATGCTCATTTAAAGTTGCGCAATGCTCCCTTATAATGTTTAGCAGCCACTTGCTTTGTCCACTGGTTGCAGGAAGAGCAGCCCGTTGGAACTATCTGGTAGGGGCTTGGAACCAGGGTGGACTGGCAGCCCCCTATCAGCTCCCCTAAATTCCCTGTGCGGCAGCTGCCCAGCAGGCTATTGATTGCCGAGCACTTGAGCTTTCCTTCTCTCTCTCTCTCCA